GTATGCATCGCAATGAATATTCCCAAAAGGAATTAAGTCATTGATATGCAGCAGAAAGATAGTGGGGGATAGGACGGAGCCCTGAGAAACGCCGGCATTCACTAACAAGAACCGCGAAGTGCTACCATTCGTAAGGACACGAATTTTACGTTCATGCAGGAAGTCAGCTATCCAAGAACAGAACTGTGCCGGCAGACCGTATACCGGAAGCTTGGAGAGAATGCTTTTGTGCTAGACGCTGACGAACGCCTTGGCAATGTCAAGGCTGATAGCCAACGACTCGCCCCGCTTGTCGATAGCCTCACCCCAGATATGAGTTAAGTACGCTAGAAGATCACCCGTCGATCGTTTGGGTCTAAAAACATATTGACGATCATTAATCAGGGAGTGATTCTCTTGGTTTTGGTCAGTTTTTTGGTTGTTAAGAACCTTTTCTAAGACTTTACATAATACTGGGGTGACTGCTGGACTGGGGTAGTTTGCCGGGTCTGAGGGATCCCCTTTTTTGGGCACCGGTTGCACGTTGGCATCTCTCCAAGTCTCCGGCACACGCCCCAAAGAATACGAGCATTGGTACAAGCGCGTGAGAGCGGAAGACAACTCCGCTGCACATTTTTTTAGTACTACTGCTGGGTACTGGGATGCACCATCAGGTCCACCAGCTTTCCGGATGTCGAGTGATTGCAATTCGACACGAACCTCACGCTGCCTGATTTTAATATCAGGCATCGTTGTGCCACAATGAGGTAAGGATGGTGGCAGTGCATTGCAATCATAGATTCGGGAGTTAGCCGCAAAGAGTTTTGCCAGTAAATCGGCTTTCTCCCGTGGCTTATGAGCTAGTGTTCCGTCAGGGCATCTCAGAGATGGCAGCGAGGGCTGGCAGAAGTTCTTTTGCACGGCCTTGGAAAAACGCTAATTTCTACGGGAGCCCTAAGGAAGCGTTATAAGTTCGTGACCAACATGTGTAACGCGCTGGGCATCCGCTGTAATCCTTCTTACAGGTCTTGGAAGCAAAATTGTAGGCTGTTTTTATTGAATCGACCCCGGTATCCATAAGAGCGCGGCCTCTGATCCAAGCACGATATACCGTTTGCTTACGCGAAACAGCTTCAGCACAGTGGTGATTGAACCAGAGGTTATGTGTGTCCTTACTGATGAGATTGGAATGAGGAATATAGTATTGCATAACCATTACAATCTCCTCAGAATAGCAACGGCGCTGAACAATAGGTCCTTGTCACTGAAGCAGCGCTGCTTCCAAGGGACGGACGCAAAGTTGTCACGCATACCGTCCCAATCTGCCGACCCATAGTGACAGATCCGGCGTTGTACCACCGTTGGACGCGGAGGCTTGGCCTGTGGCGCTTTGGTAGATATCGGGCAGTGATTTGAAGAGCCCAGAGCCCCCTTACCACAACCTGACAGCCCTGTGGATGGGTCGTGAGCAATAGGTCCAGTAATAAAGGTGCTTGACTTGAAATATCTAGAATCCTGGTGGGCTGATCGACCAGTTGCTTCAAGTCATGCGTGAGCAGAGCCCTGCATGCTTGGTTTTCGAGGAACTTAACCACAAATTGTGGTGAACATTAAATTCCCCCAAAAACACCAATTCTGCTTTGGAAAATTGTTCTTGCGCGTCATCTGCTGCCTGACTAAGGTGTTCGAAAAGTCGAGTTGTCTCGATATCGCAAGTATGGGATCTGTAGAGGCACACGTAGACTCTGGCCTGGGGACCAGAGTCGACGTGTACCACTAGTATAGAGAAAGAGGGATCTTCCAAGCAGCGGAGACGGCGACAACAAACATTCGCCCGAACATACAGACATACACCGGCTTTCGCTTTAAAGGACTCTTTAAACCCGTAGCCGGGATAGTTAAGGTAGCCTGTGTTAGCAGGCGGAAGTATTTGTGTCTCTGTCAACAATGCTGGGCGTGCTGTCTCAAGACAGTGGTGGACAGCGTTGAAGTTATAGTGGAGTCCGCGTATGTTGCAGAACTCTACCTTAAACAGCATTGAAGGCGTGGGGGTATGCACCGCTATACACCCAAACTTTGTTTTAGCGGCTGCCATGGTGAAATTGAAAAGAGCCGTGAAAACAAGCGGGCGTTGTCGCGAAGAGTTCGGGAAAATTAGGGAGGTTTGTTTTCCCGAATGACTGCCTGCAGAGGAGATGCCCCCCCGGGAGTGGCCGCCGTGACCCCACGCCCAGTCACCAACCGGTACGACGGTCCACCCCGAGATTATGCGTGAGGGCAGCCTCACGAACTGGTTAGGAACGCCCGGGCCCCTGTACTGTGCCACGGGCGGCCAGCGGGACAGCCGTTTCTACGGGTCGCCTTGGACGGCGGGTCGATGCAGTTCTCCCGGCATCGGTTCGACAGATGGTTCCCCTAGACTGAACCAGTCAGCGACAACCTCCACTCGAACTCTGGTTGTACGCTGGCTGACGCGCGAACACGCTGAACAACGCTGAACACGCGAGAAGCACTTAACGGGTTTTTCACCATGCGCACGGTGGTAACAAACCAGGCGGGTGTTAGGCACCCTACCACCAGCAAAGCGGATGGAAGCTCCGATATCCCTTATTCGTTTCTTACGACACCCACGCGAAGAGAAGGGACGGTGAGTTGTATTCTTTCTCCGTCACCGCACTGATAAAATTGGTCTTAGTGTTAGGGTGTGTAGAGATAGAAGCATGGCTCTACGTGCGATCTGATAACTTTTTGTTCGTGCGAGTGATACACGATCCCGTCTTGGCAACATTTTCCATCAAAATGTTTTGGTGAGATCTTTTGTTTAGTTCTGGCTTTCGGCACCTGTGTACGTCAAGAAGCCTCCCCATACAAATCTACGGCGGGGGACCTTGTACCACGGTAATAATATCATACAGTATTCTATCTTCATACAAACGGTCGGAAAACGAGTCATACCTACGCCACTCGAGTTCGATGTGCTCTCGGCGTGCACCCAGTCGCGATTCGCGAATGCGCCGCCGCGCCGCATCGACGACCGAACGGTCTGAATTGTTTTTTATGCAGTTAGCCGTGCTTAAACATGCGTTTTGTATTGTAAATATTTGATTTAATTAAGTAGATACCTACATAATTTAGTATAGAAAAGAACAAACGACGATCAATATCGTACAACAGCACAATTGCTGTTTTTGGTTGCTTGAACTCTTCAATAACACACCCAGAGATATCATTTTTTAAATTACCTGAAATATTGGAAAGGTGTCTTACCTTTATAGAATATTTTTTATATACCTATCTACTAGTACGTTATTTGTTTCTAATATTTAGGTATTTCGGTTATTCCATCGGGCAAAATATCTGGAATAATATATAAATAAGTGGTTAGGATGAAAAAAGAGACGAACGAGTAATCTACCTACACTCGCGTTAAAAACAAAACTACATAAAATACTGTAGGCTGGCGGCCCTACCGCGTGCCAACGCAGCGTTCGGTGTAGGCATTTATTTTCAAGGACAGGGCGGAGTCACAATACTGTATAGATAATATTACCGTGCTTGTACTAAGAAGCGGCAAGAAACTCAGCAAGAGGTTGTTTTTTCACCCTGTAGGTATTATTTTAATACAGAGTCATCAAATTAAAAAATGAGGTCAGAGATATTTCATGAAGTCGTTTTCCATTACATATTTTTATTCTTTATTTCGAGCCTACCTAGTTCGAATTAGTCTATTTACACCAACTTTTCTTATTGTCTAACTATAATTATCGTTCCTAGGTAAGACAAGGCTGGGTGGCTTGTATTGCTTTCAAATTACCTTTATACAAGGATTTATTATGGATACCGACATTAAACCTGACTAATTTTTACATTGGGAAAATGAATAATACACCTAGACTTGCGGCCAAGCTCAGTGTCTGATCATAAGCCTACTTACTAAAAACCTTACAGATCGCCATTGGACAACACTTGGCAGTACTAGCATCAGGCAAGACACCGGAACGGACAGTATTCTAAGTTATCCTTGGTGGATCCCTCCGACTCCGTTGTAGACGATGTACACAGAGCACGACTATATTGTCGTTGGGTCCGTAACATACAGGGTCAAGGGACAACCAAGCCCGAATCCCACCGGTACTCTTGAAATTCCAGACCAGCCGAGCTAAAAAAGTTATCTTAAATATGATCATGACTTTAATAAATAAAAATATAAGGACAAAAAGGTACGGACCAATGTAAACTTTAAGGTATAATAAAAAAGAACTTCCCTGTCTACCCGAATGACCTGTGTAAAACTCAAAAATAACGATCAAGCTTTGAACATAAATAAGTAATTGTAGCTACCTATTTACTACTCCAACGACAGTATAAGTGCTGGTGTACCTGGAAGCCGGTGGACTAGCAGGATGAATATTATTAATATACAGTACCTACAGTAAACGGAACTAACAACTCTCTGTTTAAAAATTGAGGGACGTAACTTTGTAAAAATAAAAGTTTGGACGGAGGTAGGAGCATTTAAGCAGTGCATAGAAGGTATACGTAAATATTCAGTGTGCTGTATGGTTATGATGGTGAACGGATGCGCTAAATTACCGGGAAATATTAAAATCGAATATTGGCATTTTATATTTTAATGCAATTTCGCGTAGACTCAAGAAATTATAATAATAATAGCTACTTAAATACGCATTTAAAACATTCAAAATCGCGTCGAGTACAGTGGACGCCGCAGGGTGGCAGTTTGTAAAGATGCAAGAAGTCTTCGAAGATGTAAATATATATATATATATATATATATATATATAAATAAATATTAAACATCCATGACTGGAGTACAAATGCTCGTATTCATCACACAAACATCTGCCCCCACCGGGATTCGAACCCGGGACATCTCGAGTCGGCGACACCATGAAACCCAGCGTACAAACCACTCGGCCACGGAGGTCGTCAAACGGTCGTCGTTTGGTGGTGCAAAGGTTTATGTAACAATGTTTTAAAATTAATTATTATTTTTATAGGCTGCGAGAGGTAGAACAACTATTGTCGTAGCGCATCGTCTGTCGACAATACGGAATGCACATGAAATAAACGTGATGAAAGATGGCGTTGTAGTAGAAAAGGGTAGCCACGTAGAGCTCATGGCGCTGAAAGGGTATTACTGGGAGATGGTGGTCATGCAAGAGCGGAAGGAACCTATAAGCGAAGGTAGTATTACCAACAGACCCCTCTTTCCAAATTTTCTTTCCCTCTTTCCCAGTGGGCACTTTGGGCAAGTGCCCAGGGGGCCGCGATCGATGGGGGCCCCCTCAGATCAAATACAATGTCCCTAGTTCCTGTCAGATCACCAAACGATAACCAATATTTATTACCAAAAAACTTATATATATATGAAATCGAACCTAAATTACGGACTACAATACCAACTTACTAGCTTTTACATAAGCGAAGCTATTCTTCTTCTACTCTCGCCCAAAAATTAGGCTTTCCGACTTCAGCATGCTAAGATAAATTTAAATATACATATAATGGTATACTAAGCACATACACATTTTAAAGAAAAATCATCAGTAGTACACTCATCAGTATGACTCGCTCCATTTCAAGTCATAATCCACATCAGTCATAGGGGTCCCATTATCCTAATATGCCCAGGGCCTCCAATAGGTTAAAGACGACCCTGATTACCAAAAGGTATAATGATAATTTATGAATGACAACTAAAAAGGCCCACTGTAACCGTACCATCCGCAAACCGTGCGCTAGTTTGGCTGACAAAGAATAAAAAACAACATTTTAATCCATACTTCAAAACTTATATTATAAATGTGAAAGTGAGCCTGTCTGTCTATCTGTAACCTCTTCACGCTTAAACCACTGAACTGATTTAGATGGTGTAAAGATAGTTTGAGTCCCAGGAAAGGATAAAGGGTAGTTTTTATTTCAGAAATCATCCTTTAAGGGGGTTAAAAGAGGGGTGGAAGTCTATGGTAACAGCAGTTATAAACTGCCACACCAACCATTTTCACCTTGCAGGCCTGCAGAAATGCTGCTTCACGCCTTTCTTACAGGACCCCAGATTGTTGGAAGGGGGAAACATGTGCGCGGGCATAGAATTCCACTTGAGAATAGTACGACAAAGAAATGAATCACCAAATTTCTTTATTCGTGTAGCAATAGTGGCCATAGCTACGTTTAGAAGTGAACACTACAACCTTAACCGTGAGTTCTTTTTAGTGGGACCTTGCTATGAGTGGATTGTATATTTTTAACTGACAGGGAGACGCAAATACGGTTTTCTTGGTTGAATATAATTATTTTGAGCAAAATCATGGGTTTGGGCTGGTACCTGCATTGCCTTTGTTTTGCCAATTTATTACAAAGCTTTAGAGTTTTGTTGGCAAAAAACACTACTGTTACGGTTACAAATGAAACTGAAAATAGCGATAGATATCGCGTTGATATATGGTCGATATATCGAATATCGATACTTATCTTACTTCGATATATTCGTTTTTTTGCGATAAACTGCATCCCTACATAATACTATACCGGATAAAGATATTTGTCCGACTTCGATATAAATATCGATTTTGAAAAGTATTTACATCCCTTTATGTACCTTTCTTTAAAAATGAGGAATTCGATTTGCCTTTGTTCTCGAAGTTTTGTTTATGTTAGCAAGCTTATCGCAAGGGAAGTGCGTGAATGTTTCATGGAAGCGAAGGTGACATCATTGCTATGTTACTAAACATAGCCGTGGCTGGGCTCTAAAATTATCTTTTAAAGTTGCTTGCAGTAATAGAATGAAAGTTAGTGAGCTGATTGCCCTGACTGGTAGTAAAAATAGCAAATCTTACGGTTGTCGCCATTTCATTTTAAATATTATTGATGTGTAACATCTTTCCTCTCGCTTTCCTGCAATTTGTGGGAGTGATTTCGTGAAGGGACGGAAGTGTGTAACAGGAAGTCGCGAAAGCGCGCGCTATTTGATTTGATTTTAGAACATAGTGTTCAAATGGCTTATTCCTTTTGTAGTAGGTTTTATTTCTTTTTTTTTCATCATACGCGACTACTGTAAACTGTAAGGCTCGCTGTTTTTTTTTATGATTATTAGCTATGTTATCGGGGATTGGTAATATGACGGGGGATGATTTATCTTAGGTGGGTTCTTATAGGGTCAGATGTGGGGGTCACCGAGACGCGACGCACATTTTAATCGACTTCAATAAGGAGGAGGTTCTCAATTCGGTTGCTTTTTTTAAAAGATACCGATTCAAATTTACAGCTCTACGCTTCGTCGTGCAATGAATTTTCTTTCTCTCTGTGTAATACAACAAAGTTTCATTTTTAAATTTTAAAATTTTTAACTTGCAATGTATGTTTGTTCGGGTGGAATCTTGCATCTCAAGTTTGAAGTAGATATCTTCATTCGATTGAGCTGAAATTTGCACACGTTAAGTTTAGATGACAATGAATTGTGAGCTCAAACTCAAACTCTTTATTTGCAAACTAAGTGTTACGTACAGTTCTTAAAAATAATACATAGCATATTATGACTTAGTCACCTTGTACAGGTATAACAAATAATAGATAATTAAACATTTATTATTATGATATTATAAAGTTATAAAATTGTAACATATTTAATTTGGTTTGGGAGATACCATCATTATAACATAATTTAACAAAACAAAAACAATTGAAAAAAAAAATACAAATTAATTAAATTTATTAAAGTATTCTTCGATAGAATAGAAGCATTCATCGGTTAAATATTTTTTTATTTTTTTGTGAAATATATTTTTATAGCCATGTGATAGGGACTGGTGTTTAGCATCTTTAAATATAAATATATTGCGATGTTTAGAAAATGAACAAGCAATTATCCAGTGTGTAAATCGATGGTAAAGTTAGTAGTTGGTATTTTAAAAAATAAGGTCTGCAACTGTGCATATTGTTAATTTGAGCAAGGATTCGCACACATTTCTTTTGGAGTATAAACACCTGCCCTGCATTAACGCTCAACAGCGTTGCCCCAAAGCATGACTCCATATTTAAGCCAGGAGTATGCATATGCGTAGTATGCTGCTAGAGCAGTATCTACGTTTGTGCTACTCGTAATTTCGAATAGTGCATATGTAAAGGACATTGTTCAGCGTCCATACATAGTTAGCCTAAGAACCAACAATCATGAAATATTATTTTCTAGGTTCAAAATCGTAAGTAAATGACTGTAAAAACAAAGATTATTGACGGACACTTCTGAGAACCTAAATTATTAGGAAAACTAAAATTTTTTTGGGGTTACGTTTAATATTCAATGAAACATAGGTCAGCCTATGAATTTAGTATAAACTCAGTATGAAGTGAATTAATATTACAACTAATTCATTTTATTCGGTGCGATTTTAAAGAATAACTATTAGGAAAAACTTGGTTAGGTAGGAATCATGAATAAAATAAAAAACTGTAGTTTTGCTTCTTATTTATTGACTATTTTTCACATATTTGTATCATATTGTTTATTGTATTTATTTGTATATCACATGTAGGTATATTTTGTAAATATGCAGCGTGAATGTGTATCAGTTGTTCTTGAATAATTTGGCAGTATGATCCTCTCAGGATGTTGTGGCACAGGTTAACTAGCACTTGGTAATAAGGGTTCTGCCCTTTGGTAACATCGATGGCATATTAGATGGCCGAAATAGTTAAATGAAAGGAAAAACAATCGCAAATAAACACAAAATCCGAAACGAGAATGCACTTTCCGGTTTTTTATACTACTCTTTGGAATGCACGAATGCCACAGATTACTACGAATGCAAAATGCATGCACCACAGCCACAGAGTAACGAGTTTTATGCCGGCCCTTCACTTGACAACAGTTTGTCCTTGTCATGCTTAATAAGGAATGAAAAGGACAGACTGATGTCATGTTTTAAAATAGCAAATACGAATAGCCAAGTTAAGTGCCGGCATTAGGAAGAAAGAGTGTTTTGTTTGCAGCGCTGCCATAGATTATACACATAAAATGGTATTATTGTCTCATATTATTTTTTAACTTTTTAATTTAGCTTACTTAACTGGAAGTGTCCGTTACAATCTAAATACTGATAATTATCGCAAAAAATATACTAAGAATTATCATAAATGCCAAATTGGTGTTGGTTCTTAGGCCAATTTTAACATTGTCCTTTGGACAATTTCGATTTAACATGGTCTATGGCCCTTCCAGTTAATATTTGAGTCTATTTTATCAATCCGAGGAGATTAAACGTGTCTACTGAATCTTCGTATTTGGATATCATCAAAATTTACGTCAAGATTTAAAGGTTTGGTTTTGTACGATTTAAATTCTATTACTTTAGTTTTCTTGCAATTAATTTTCAAGTTATGTTCTGTGAGCCAGTGCGATATATTTTCTATTGTACGGAGTATGTCAATATTAGGGTCAAAGTCTTTACTACGTTTAATTAAGATAGCTATGTCATCAGCAAATAATATTGGATATGTTAAATCATTGTCTAAAATTTTTGGGAGGTCATTAATATAGATAATAAATAATAAACAGCCCAACACACTACCTTGAGGAATTGAGCATGTGAGATTTCTTACAGCAGAGTTCACTTTTTCTATAGTATTCTTCTGTTCGTCGAAATGTTCGATTTGTTCAATTTGTTTTCGGTTACTGAGATATGACTTGAACCATGAATAAGCTGGGCCCCGAATTCCGCAGCCATAAAGTTTTTTTAACAAAATACTGTACGAAACTTTGTCATATGCTTTTTTCATATCTAATAAAAGACCTATCGCCAGTGATTTATCGTTTATTTGTTGAAGTGCCATTTGGATATATTTGAATACTGCTAATGTAGTTGATCTATTTTTACGAAATCCGTTCTGGCTTTCATCAAGAATGTTGTATTTTTCTAGTAATTTATATAATTGTATACTCATCGCCTTTTCAAATATTTTGGAAAACGTTGGAAGGAGTGACATTGGTCTGTAGTCACTCGGATTGCCTTTGTCATCTTTTTTATGTACAGGCTTAACCAATAATATTTTCATTTTATCTGGGGAAATACCCTCTTTAAAGCTCTGATTTATCAAATTAGTTAAAGGTATTGAAAATTCGTCAGCACATTGTTTAAGCAAAATTGGTGGTATATCATCTATGCTAAAACTGTGTTTATTTTTAACTCAAGATTTTTAAATTTTCTTATTTTGGTTTTGTTGGTTTTTATATTTATGATATTCCACATTGTTCTAGTCTTGTTATCAGATTTTTTCATTAGTTTAATAATATATACATTTTTTTTGCAATTTTTACACTCCGCTTTAGTATATTACTATATATGGTGTAATACTTTTTTATTACATTACTTTTTGTTAGATTTAATAAAATTCATAAATAAGCTGTGTGATGCCATTGTAAATCCAATATGGCGGAACATACTAGATGGCGGACTAGTTATTTTTGACGTACTACTACAATATGGGTATCAAATGCAAGGGCTTGCTGAGAATAACTCGAAAAATATAGAGACGTTACCTAAAATCCAATATGGTGGATTTAAAAAGATGGCAGTCTAAGTTTTTTATTCTTTCCTACTGTATGGGTAACTAATGAAAGGACTTGCTGAGAATATGAGGGTTTTAAAGTCGTCGATTAAGTCCAGCGATAACTGAAAATAAATAAATAAAAAAAAACCACGGGTTGCACTCCGGGAGTGCCGGCAGAAGTGAAAACTTGAATATTAACGTTGTCCATTTTTGATATTTTGGAATGGTTAGGGAATAATTTTGCACAAATTTCTTTAATTATCAGTATAAAAGTACTATCATTTATGTGGTACAATACAATATATATTTATTGCGCAATCGTACACAAACATGACAATTTAAATTACATTAAAAAGTTTATCTCTCAGAATTTCTCATTTAAGCGAACTTAGCGACATCTATAGTAAAAAAAATGCATTTTCTTTGCAATAAAGCTGCCACCTGGACGTCCTAGATACAGGCTTATTACTATAATATTATAAAATAAAATATTACTATGATTCGTCCATATATTGAAAGTGAACAACCTTCCCTATTTTATTGTTTTCGTCTTACGATCAGTACACGTGGCCTGTGATGCGATTAGCCCACGTGTCATGACGCGAGTTTAACATTTTTTACCCATACAAAAAAAGTGTACAACGCCGTTAAAGAAGTTTTCACTTATTTTTTTTAAATCAAGCTCTTATTTAAATGCATTAAAAATAATAAAATAAAATTTTCCTTTAAAACTCTTATTACTAACAAGTTATAAAGTCATTACACAATTAATATAATATAAAAGCTTGTCGCGAGATTTACCTGTTCCATAAACATAATTTGATTTTATTTGAATCTTAAAAATGTTACTTACTTAAATTGGCGACAAATTGTGTAATGACGATATAAGTTGATAGTAAAAGTTTAAAGGTTTTTTTTGGTATTTATGTGATGTTTCTATAATAGATGCTGATTTTACAAGAGAAGAATCGAAAATATCCGAACATGTGAGCGTTGCTGGCACTACAGTGATTGACGTAATTTTTATTTTCAATTTTATTATACTTTACTAACTTTATTTTAATTAGAGATGCACCGAAATTGGTGTCACATTCGGTATTACCGAAGTTCGGCAGCCTTAACCAAACTTCGTCTACGGTTGAATTTGGGTTTGATCTGCCGAGTGTCAGCCGAAATTCGGTATATTAAATTAATTTAAATAGAAAAGTGAAAAGAAATGTATTATAAAATAAAATCTAAATCAAATGATAATTTGTAAGCAAATACGTAGATTTTCGTTCGTCTTTTTATTTCCCCAGACAAGAACAACGTCAAGTAAGTATCAAAAATATGCTAAAAAAAAATATCAACTGTAATATTTACCTGTCAGCTACGTTACATAACAAGCTTTCTTCTTTAGTTTTTTCATTATAACAAAACAATACTCTTTATAAATTATTATTTATTAAACATTTTGTTCATTAAGCAAAAGATCGCGAAAGTTTACCGAATGTCGTCTGAAATAAGTATTTAAACCGAACATTCGGCCGAATTTGACATTTGTCAAGACCCACAATAACAAACAATCAATACCTCGTGGATGAAGTGCACGGCGACATCGCTAGTTATTAATGTCCCGTACCCAAAAGGCGATATACGGAACCCTATTAACATGCATCCGCTACCTGTATGTCCTTCACAGAACTGCGTTTTACTTGAACGAAAATAGAGCGTTGTTAAGCAGAAAGCGACCAGCGGATAATTTTGAAGCAAGCGAAAATTAGTTCTACGAACGTTAAAGTTTCATTCTGTTTGATCCCAAAAAGAATATCTAATAGTTGCTTTCTGCTTCCTTAATGATACTTTAATATTGGTTCAACGCTACTTATTGTTGCTAGCTTTAAAAAAGCCCGCTGGTCTCTTTTTGTTTAACTCCGTTCTCAGACATCGTTGAGTTGATTCATTTGCCCAAAGGTATTATAGAATTAAGAAAACAGCATCGTAGAAAAAATGTGTTTCTCTGTCTTTGTCCTCCTTTATCTGTGTTTCTGGGTAACATAACATATTAGCTGCTGACAGTACATAATTATCCGGGTCTCACGCCAACTAGATGGTCTGATTAAGTGAGAGTAGCAACCTCTTCAAGCAAATTCAAATTACATCAAGCACTAAGAGCAACCACGGACAGTGGCCGTTGTAGACAAATTATGAAGACTGCTAAAATTAAATCATTACTGTCCTCAGTAATTAGGGAACGATTAGAGAGACTATTTCCATACTAATATTATAAACGCGAAACTAGTCTTTCTGTTTGTAACGTCTTCATGCTTAAGCCGCTGAATCGATTTAGATGTAATTTGACGTAGAGACAGTTTGACTCCTGGGGAAGGAAAGTGGATAGCTTTAATCTCATGAATTATCTTAAAAACCTTGGGGAAACTTTGCAAGCAACGGTGAGTAAAATATCCCAAGAACTTAAATTGAACATTGTCTGGAGAATGCCAGGTGAAAATATTAATAATAAATCACCACGACCTATAATTTTCTAATTGCGAACGAGAGAATCTTGCTCTGAGACTGAAGTGCAAGAAATTACAGTTACAGTTAATAACACCATTTACAACAACGAAAATAGCTCCAGAATTTACAATAATGAGCATCCGACGCGTCAAATGCTTTGGAGTGTTAAAAACAAACTTATGGAAACATATAAGTATATTATTTGTGTGTTAATATATTTATTGATAGAATCTGCTAATTTTTATGTCGGTTATAATCTTAGTGACCTAATGTATCATAGTATGCCTATATAAGTTATGTATGATTATGTGTGCGCGTGGGTGTGTAAACAAACGTGTTTAAAGGTAAACTATTAAACAAAATTTACTATTCTGTTTTTCGACAAAAAAAAATTGTTAGTGAAAGTATTTTAATGTGTGTGCACGCGTATATATGTGATTATTATTTGTGCATGTTTAGATAATATTGCGTTAAATTAGATAGGTTTTTATTCATGTAAAACATTACCACGAGAATTGCTGCTGAGTGCTAACAAACTGGTAAACAGTTTGGCAGATGTAGACATATTGTCAACATGTGTAATGTTGTGAGAAAATAAATTTAAAAAACTAAGTTTTTATTTCATGGTGCAAGTTTATATTAAAACCAAATTTTTCCACTTCGAATATTTGCAGTTTTCAAACCAATTTTCCCAGACGAAGTCGCGAGCAAATTAATAGTCTCGCGACAGAGCAACGTTATTTTTGGAAACTGGTATTTATTTAGGATTAAACCCAATGTAATCTTTTGATTATGTCACTCAGGACAAAGAAAAGAGAGAGTCACCTAAGGTTTCGTTTTGGAAGGTAGTTCGTCTTAATGCGCCTGAGTGGAAGCTCATCGCCGTTGGCTGTGTTTGCTCCATTATCATCGGGTTTTCAATGCCGTTATTCATCGTTGTGTTCGGAGACCTTTTTGGGGTGAGTTATCCAGGCGTAGACATTAATCTTTATTACCACAAAAACATAAGACATGCCTTCAATACAAGTTTAAGAAAAAATGATAATCGAAATTGGCCTAAACTGGGTTTAAAACAGTGTCAAACTTTTTTGTAGTAAGGTCGTGTAATATCTGATTTCTACACTATGTAATTTCTCACATAGGCATAGGAAATTAAAGTTTTTGTAAAATATTGAAGTAAGACATGTGAAATTCGATTATGAACTTTGAGAGAGATGGAGAGAACATGTTGCTTATCTCAAGGTTCATAATCCAATTTCACATTTTTGACTTAAAATTTTATAAAAACTTTAATGTCTTATGCTGATATTTTATAAGTATTGATTATTAAAAGCTTATGATACCCACTTCCACTTTTCAATCTTCAAAATTGATTGATCCAGTCAATTAGTTTTTGACCATTTTTCAGGGCCACGTGGAGCAAAGTTCTAATATTTCATTGAAAAGCTAATCATGTTTAAGATATAATAAGAATCTTTATTTGTAAAATACAAAAACAAAATACAATTGACAAAAATGGAGTGATGTGTAAATCCAGAATAAGCCTCAATTTGATTTAAGAAATTTGGTGCAAACTTGCACACTTGCTTAGATTAATCATATATAGGGTGAAATTGAATATTTCTATGAAACTTCGTGAGATTGTTGGGTTATGTGTATAGAGTATGCCTGTTTTTTTTCGGATTTTTTTGAAGTATATTTTTTTTATGTATTTATTTATAATTTGTGTATTTTTATGTCCTTTCCTCCTTTTGAGTAGTTGTTCATTTTAAACAAACAAACTTACATATCCAGTGAAAAACAACTAATAAATAAGCACTTCTAAAAAACGGAAAAACATTAAAATTCCACCGCGGGTCAACGACCGACCGCGCCCGCCAGCCGTTGAGTGAATAGGTACATAGCTCTACACAAAGCTCAGCTGACTCGTTTGATTAAACACAATACAATAAAATCGGCTTAGATACCTTTATTGAAATTGAAATAATAAGCACAAATGTCATCTTCTCTTAAGCAGAGAAAAACTTTAAAAGTTAATAATAATTTTGTCACGATTGGAAATAGGCAAATGTTAAACAAAAAGAAATACTTATTGCAGTTCAATACTTGGGTCAGAATGAAATTTATAACCAGGTATTCAAAAGTACTTACGAGACCGGCGATGTAAGTAGGTACAACGAGGAACGAAGAACATATTCATTTTTTTCACTAGAACTTTTTATCAAATCAATCACACTGGTAGTACACAATTAGTTGTTTCTAATCAAAAAGTATTTACACTAGCAATAAAAAGAGACTTAAATTATTATCTGCAAAATTGTTGCTTTTGCTGCAAACAAAGGTAGGCATGTTTGCGGACGTGTCTTTTCACCTTTTTTAAAGTGTCCCTATCACTACTCACTGCACAAATGCAACTTCTATGGTTTGGGGACTCATTCGTAAACCAAACCTACTTCGTCACACTCGCGATAGCAGTACACCATCTCTAAATAGGTATTTTTGGTTCGTATACCGAGGCATAATGAAATTATCACAGTGTATGTCACTAAGTCAAAAGATGCGCACGCGCACGCGCGATTGATATACTTGCGACTGCGTTTTGCATGCAATCAGAGCAAACAACCGCGCGCGGGGAAGAGGGGAGGTGGGCGGAATTCACATCATCAAAGACGCCGCAACCGGCGCTAGTTGCCAGCGTGCGGCGCGCCGCGCGCCCGTGCTTGCCGCAAAACAACATATTATTATGTGTGTGTGTGTGTGTATGTGTGACTGTGGCTGTGATTAAATGTGTTGGGAATTTCATGACGTGGGCATATCAGACACGAAGAGTTCCTTCCTTCACTAAGCTCGTAAGTTATACCGATTTGCTCTGTATGATTTTTCCCAATTTAATAAGCCGTTTGTGCTTAAGTTTTAATTAAACGAGGCAACTAACATTAACAATAAAAAAGAAGTTCTTACACTAACAGACAGGCTTTACCGATTTAAAATCGTGACAGTCATATTAACTTTATAGGATTTTTAATTGCTCTAACAGAAGATTTATTTTATTGATTAATTACCTGTGCTTTATGAAACAATATTCAAAGGTATTGTGTATCAGTGAATAAATAATTATAATATAGCATCTAAGACTATTTTATTGTAATGTACACCTACATCGCCGGTCTCGTAAGTACTGTCTAATACCTAGTTATAAATTTCTTTCTGAGACAAGTATTAAACTGCAATAAGTATTTGTTTTTGTAACAAAATTATTATTAACTTTTTAGGTATTTTTCTCTGCTAATGAGAAGATAACACTTGTTCTTTATTTAAATTTTGTCATTGTAATATGACATCTAAGGCTCGTATGAATAGAACGATCTCAACTCTGAGAGCGATCTTGAGATGCTGTTTAGTATGAACACAGTATCTCAAGGTCGTAGTCTCACTGTACTGTAGATAGGTACACGCCGCGTCAGCTGTGCGCGCGCGGTCGTTGCCCCCAAAGAGTAAAGTAAGTATACCAAAGGAAAAGAGAGCCCTCTTGCTGGTATTTTTGATAACTTAATTTGAAGAGTAGCGACATCTATTATCATGTACATAAACTAAAACCGCCTGATTAATATACATACCTACACTATATAATATATTAGATGTACGTACTAACACGCGCACGATAAATTGAGACCTGAAAGAATGCAAAAAAATACTTAATTGTATTATTCTATATTATAAATGTAAATTATCCTATATAATTAAAATTAGTATATTTAATAACATAGGACAATGTATATTTACAATATAGTATAATACAAATAAGTAGTTTTATGCATACTGTCAGGTCTCAACTCATCGTGCGCGTGCTTGTACTGTTATTAATTTCAATATTTTTTTTAATTGCATTATAATAGGCGTAAAGAGTATTGATTTTGTCTGAAACTTTACAAAATCATTACTTCGCCTAATATAATTACACATAAACAAATGAAAAACATGTTTATACTTTTATTTATTTATTGAAAAGACAACTAAAACGTGTACTTACTAAAAAAATAATACAATACATCAGGTACTATAAGTATTCGAGGATAGATCTGTAAAACTATTGTAAATGGTTATCATAGTGGTAGGATTTTAATTCTGTTATTCATAAGAATGAAATTTTAGTGACAATCTATTTCTCAAAATTAAATTAAAGCTGAATCCATGAAGAGATAGGTAGCCATTTACAATTTTTTTGTCTTGAATTTTTTATGTTTCATATAATAATTTTGAGCTGCTATTTTTATTTCATCATCCCCATCATACGACACTTTCCCTGACAAAATTCGGTTCACTTCGCGACACCAACTGTTAACCAACACATTAACGGTTGTTTTAACAAAATAATATTTTAATTCTTCTTTGTGTTTTACACAATTGAAAGGAGATGTTACCAAGGTGTCAGTTATCCACATGATTTTTGATTTGATTCCGCTTTGTGGAACATTACTTTTTAAAAAAGAGACAGTGTTCATCTGAATTTCATAAAAGAAATTGACTGCCTCTTCAGACGGGTATGTTTGCCACTTCTTAGTTTTATTATATTCTCTTAATTTTATAAAATCATTATTATTATTGTCAATACAAATCAATTTCGCCTTGCATGTGACACAACCTTTTACAATATTTTTTAAACATTTGAATATCACCCAACCACAAACATAATTTCTTTGACCCATATCTTTTACCACTACCCTATCCATTAACAATTCTTCATTTATTACAAAATTATCTTCGGAAATATCCTCATTACGATCAACATGCTGCTTTTCGGTTAAAAAGAAATCTATTGAATGCAAACAGTTATTATCATCTTGCTCGCAGTTAGAGCCGATGGAGTGGGGCGAATTAAAATTATTTAGCAAAAGTGCTTTATATGCACCTTCAAATGCTACAACATTTGGAGAGTTATTTCTCGCCCCATAACTACGGATATTGCCGAAGAAATTTTCCACAGGGTCCTGATTAAAGTGTCGTGTCATCATGCAATCAAAATTATATTTCTTAGATAAAATGTTCCACAAAACTTCAAAACCTTCAATGGTTTTAATAAAATTAACAGTTGATGGAACAGTGCACATTACTAAGCTAATTTTTCCACCAGTTTTTTTAGGGGAAATAAATTTAATTGACTTAAATAACTTTTTAGCTTTGATCCAGAGCTGGTGATGAGGTGATGATTTTCGTACACAACTTTTATAAATTTTACCATTAGGTATATAAAATGTGTTGCTGTTAAGGGAGTCAAACAATTTATCTAATAATAACACAAATGGGATTAAATGGCGACACTGATCATTGACGATTCCCCTGGCCGTCAAATGTTCAGTCACAACAGCAACACTATGACTAAAAATTTGTGCAGCTGTTTTGACACGCATTTTTTTTATTTTTTGAGGATTTATGTGTTCCTCCGTTATTTTATTCAATAGACGAAGTTCCCCAAATGTTTTATCTGCTTCATATATTTGTTGAAAATATTGCCATTTAATATTTTTTTCTTTATCAGCATCGTCTACATCATTATAAATTAAATCTTTCGAAATTAAATTGTTACGAACTCCTTTTAATAAGTGAGGAACATCGTACAGTGGTATGATTTTGCAATTGTTGATTTCATAAAAATCGTGTCGCCACTCATTTCCCTGTCTTAGTATTCTTTGCTTCGTTTCTTGAACTAGACCAGATATTGCTCCTACATTAACCGAACTTTGGTCACAGACCGAACACAAGATAATTAAACCAGTGGCTTGTACTTTCTTGACTACTTCATAAATAATATTTTTTAATTGATGTCTGTTAAGACTGTTGGTAAAGTAGTAAGCCACTGGTTGTTTAAAGTTGACCTTAATCCCCTTTATCATAAAAACCAACACATGGTCAGCTATAAGGTTTTGATTACTGGTTTCTGTGCTCACAAATCCTTTTAATT